CCTCACTCTCTCCACCCCCCACCCCTCACTCTCTTTCTCTCTCTACTCCAGACATCTGTTATTAGTGTTAATGGAAGCAGAAAGAGCATGGAGTTATGCCATGCAGCTTAAACAGGAAGCGAACACTGAGCCCCGAAAGCGTTTCCACCTGTTGGCTCGCCTGCGAAAGGCAGCCAAACATGGGGAGCAGCTAGAGAAGTTGTGTGAGAGTCCCCGTGTGGATGCCAAGACCAAACTAGAAGCTCAGGTCAGACAAATATTTGATTTTGATAATCTCCATATGTCATTTCAGTGAGTCCCTATGTCATATGTCCACTAACTGGAATCACCGTAGTGTACAGCCTTTTAATATATTAACAGATGAGGTCATCTTAACGCCGACTTGATTGAGCTCTGTTCCGCTGTAAGTGTCTTTCATGTTTTCCGCAGGCATACACTGCTTATCTGAACGGCATGGTTCAGTTTGAACTGCAGGAATGGAAATCTGCAATGGAGGCCTTCAACAAGTGCAAGTTAGTGCTTCCTTTCATTCTAAGTATTTATTGATGCATTTGAATTGGGAGTGCAAACTCTGCAGATATGTAAAGAAATATGAACACCATTAGTGTACTATCATTGTATGACCATGTCATACAATGTTGTAATTAACCAATTTTTCCTTTGCTTTTATTTTTCTTGAGGTATAGTTTTTCATCGTGTACAATTATTAAAAAATGTATCAAGTGTTTCCTACAGGACTTTATAAGATTATGGTAGGTGGAACTCGGACCCTGTAGGGTTGTCCGTTGGCATATTTTCTCGGAAAACCATGTATTAAATACATTAATCTGGGGCATGTTTAACAGCACAATTAAGACCTCAAATCCCTTTTCAGTGACCAGATTGAACAAAGTAATAAAAAATGTTGTTTGCCCCAACTTGTATCTGGACTTTAAAGTGAACTTTTTAAAAAATGTTTATCTTTCAAGTGCCCCATTGTCAAATGGAACATTTAACATGATGAGATAAAAAATAAATTCTTCTAGGAATACTGTGAAGCTCAATACACTCCATACTGTGACTAAATAGTCGCATTTTGTGACTTTTTTTCTTGCATGTGCGACTGCATTTTGTTAGAGGTTGTTATGGTACTACTACTAGTTTGCCTAATTGTTAGCACTGTCATTTCTGTTGTATATATGTTGTATATCAGAAATGTTAAACGGCAAACTTAAAACAAAACAGCACTACTTGTTTGAACTGCACCACACAGACCATTTTTCAGCTTGGCACAAAAGACAGCACTTAATGACTAGAGCCCGACCGATATGGGGTTTTTGGGGCCGATACCGATATTTGGGAGTAAAAAAAAGACCGATATCGATATATCGGCCGACATTCTTTGTGTATGTTATAGTACAGTACCAGTCAAAAGTTTGGACACTTTCCCATTCGTGTGTCCAAACATTTGACTGGTACTATATATAGAATACAGTATATACATAAACAGAATATCCGGGATCGCTAGATCGGTCGGCGCCGGACCGCGAATTTAACCACCCGTAACTCCCGAACCCCGGGGGCTATCGACGCGGGGGTGGTCTCATTCGAAAGAGGGCCTCGAGACGTACACTCGATTCACGTTCGAGAGGGTTCCTCGAGCTGAAGGGATCCCCCGAATTTGCTGCGGATCCGCTGCGCCGTTATGGAGATATGGCCGTTCAAAGTTTCAATGGTTTTCCATAGACTTGAGCTTTAAAGCGTTTCATCCAGGTCGCCAGTAGCAGAGAATGGAGCGCGCTCTGCTGAATAATTACACCATTTCAAGCATTTTATCTGAGTTATATGCTCTGTAAAAAAAATTTCATATCGGCAGCATATTCGCCGATACCGATATATCGGCGACATGCTCATATCGGCCGATAATATCGGCTAAACGATATATCGGTCGGGCTCTATTAATGACCTCAGAGCAGGTACATTGACTTTTTCCTATGGTAGTGAGGTGTGTCATGCATAGTTTTTACCCGTGTTTATGATCTACAAATGGTTGATGCTATAGAAGAGTAATGGTTAATTTTAATAAGAGTAGTGCATCTGCACCTGTCTCTGAAAGTTGTTTGATCCGAGTAGTTCTGGAGGCCCCCCAGCACTGCACGTTTTTTTGTATGTCTCCCTTATTAGAAGCACCCAATTCAGGTCTTCTCTACTTAGGCAGTCTCTACTAATGAGCTGATGAGTTGAATCAGGTGTGTTAGATGAGGGATACATACAAAATGTGCAGGGCTGGGGTCCTCCAGGACAGGTCTGAAAACCCCTGGTCTAGGCTATATAATAAATAAAAATAAGTATATAGTCTGTTGTGCTATGTCAGAGTGAAGTGTGCTACTGTTTTCTCGAGTAGCTCATGATCCATTGATTTCAGTGTCTCAGAGTGCCTCGATTCACAGTGAAGCAAACTTAATCTTTGCATGCGCTGCGAGTCTAGGAAGGTATTTAGGAAGGCAACGTGCGCTAGTTACACTTTTTCACATTTACTTAATTTCCACCATTTTGGTCAACGGATGATTACAGCATTTCACTTAATTTGTAATGAGATGCATTTTTAAACCAAATTTCACAGGAACTGCAGTTTTCAGCTAAAATTTCTTGCAATTGAAGAAATTTAAAATAAACATTTGCATTTGAATGTTAGGAGTGTGTCAGGGAGCGTCATCAGTGGCGCACAAGATGCGGTGATAATGATGTAAGTGATGTTGCATTTTAATGTTTTGCTAGTCTTGCCCACGAGATGCACCGCTGCTGTGTTATGCATTCAAAATATTAGAGAAATATAGAAGCTCAATGCGGAGAAGATCTTGATTAGGTTAAAACCGAAACCAAGCCATTCACACAGAACGCATATTCAGCGCATTTTTTAGACGGACAAATATGACTTCTGCACTCGCGTGTCACTTTGTTGTTTGTCTCAATAAATTGGGTTAATTTAAAAATACAGTGGTTAAATAAAATAAAAAAAAATTCTATTGCTCTTTGGTTTAAAAAAAGGTTATAAAAAATGTCAATAATTATCGATACCGAACGATATGAAACATTATATCGTTGATGATTTTTTTTTAGCTATATTGCCCAGCCCTATTACTAATATGTTACTAATCTAAATGAAAAAAAGTAATGTTTTGGGGATAATATTAATAAAAAGCTATTATTATTATTTTTAGGCCAATTTACACTGCACCAAAAACACAGATGGCAACAGACACGTTTTGTCTGTTCAGTCAGTGTGTTACCTACAATGGCCCAGTAGTGTACAGCACAACAAAATTTAAACACATCAAAATCACTGCAACACAGCAAAATTGGCTCAACACAACGGAAACAAGCCGCAACTTAATGG